AGAAATCGAATAAGCATTGGAAACTGTTCCCAACTCATCATCTTGGATTAGTGTATTCGGCGCAATTTTCGTAGAACATCATTTTTTGTTCTGACGATGTCTGCCAAATAAAAGAGGAAAGCTTCGAACGATTTCATTCGGATCGCAGGATGGTGAGCCGGGGACTTGTTTACACAGTCAAATAGATCTTAATCCCCACCAGTTAGGTGTCCTTAGGTTTCGAATCAGACCAATTCATGAATTATTTTCAGCCACCTTTTACTTTGAGTGAAAAGTCATGTCTCGATCAAAGACAAATTTGTCTAGAAAGTGTGCTCAACAAATCTGAATAAATAACTTCCTCTTAAATTATCTTCTTACAAGTGTACATATACCACTAAATGAATCATACGCAATTAAAAACAGTAGACGTCGAAACTACCAGTAGCTTTTGAAATGAGACAGTTGAATTTTCACACAATGTTACCGAAAGGTCCCGCAACGCTAATTACTTACACCTGGCTTTACTCCCAAAAGGATGGACGGCAATTTCGACCCCTCTTTGGCCTAATCAGCACCACCAACGGCGATCGAAACTGGATTCCGATAGTGCAACCTATAATTTCAACATGTTGCCACGACGCCTGGCAACTACGAATGTTGGTGGGTCACGGGACAGTTCATAGCTTCACGAGCGACTACATTATTTGAAGCAGAAAAACAGGAAAAATCGGTTTTCGAGAGAGCTCTTGATTTGAACTTGTTGAGCTCCCTTCCTCGAGACTATCATCTTCGCTTCCGGTGAGAAAGTGGTACTAATAAATCACTACACTCCGAACACCCTTGGGCCACAGGTCAGAAGTGAACTTTAGAGCTAGTCTGGCCTATCCAACATCACATTTTGTGGCAGTAAACAAACCGGAGTTATTCCGTTACAATCGACCCAACTACTTACATTTGGAACGAGTAGGTTTTAAAACTAATAGAAGAGATTGAATAAGAGGTGCGCTCATCTATTTCTCGGACAAAAAGTTGAAACTTCCCACAACTGCTCTTGGCTAGGTCGAAACAGCCATTTCGGTTGGATGAGAAGACCGTTTTGGAGGCAAGACTATGTGAAACTTAATGACATCATCAAGCCTACTCATATGATTTCGGAAAAGTTCAGCTATCAGTTCTTAGTCAACCAATGAGAACTAGAGTGAATATAATTCTTATTCAAGATATACAG